TTTCCTTTTTCTTTTCTTCTCGTAGTCTCTTTCTTTTCTGTTATGCAGCTTCTTCTTCCTTTTTTAACTGTTTTGCTTTTATTTTTTCCACGTATTGGTCTGAAGTTAAAGCAGATGGCAGTCTTTCTATTTTTTATGGGATAGGGTGACAAACGAGCACACAGTCCACCTGATAGTAAGTGCGTCGTCACCCGTGAGGACTAAGATGGAATGCCTCTTTTCCAGTAAAATGGGTCTCCAGTTCTCTACACTCACCATATGCTGGTATTTTACGCTAGTATTCTGTGAAACCGTGGTCGTTCCCCGGTCGAGCCGACCTATTCGTGCTACAACTATACTACTAATATAGCTGCAGCATGGCTCTAGCACGCTTTCCTTGGCGTTTAGGTGAAAATTGTAACTTCTCTTTCAAATATTCAGTTAGAGATTATGAACACATTAGAAATTATGGAAACCTTAGAATATGTGATTTGTTTTGACGTACTAGGCTGCGGAGCGAGACTACGTTCTATTTAATTATTCTGAAGTATCGGCTTACTGTACACTTCCTTCTATTATTTTCTCTTTCTTCGGTTTTATTTATTAGCTCACCTGTAAATCTATCAAGAATCTTCCTAGGGTTTTTCTCATCTTATTCATTCGTCATCTTATTCGTCTGAATCCATTTATTAATAAATAATGTATATTTCTTACAAAACGAGTCTACAACTATTTTAACAGTAGAGCAAAGGATTTTTGGTCAGACTCTTCTGGTCATTATTCACAGCGCACCGATCGCGCAGTACCTTCTTCCAAGCAACCTTTATTAGGCGAAAAGATGTGTTTGAAGATGGCGGCATAGTTCTGATACTTCTATAGTTATATGGGATCTGTGTCCGTCGAAAAACAGAATTACAGGAAGTGGGATATTGCCTTCTAAAATTTGTGGTTGTAGACAGAGATATAATCATAAAAAACTGCTGCAGTCATCCAACCTGTGTCGCTTCGCCCTATTCCCCAATCAGATGGCACACTCAGTGAAACTCGGTCAGGTATCCGTATATAAGGATATTATCTATAATCATTGTTCTAAAGACGTGTCCAGCAACAGGAAACGTTAATAAAACTAATGTTTTCTAAAAATTCTGAACACATAATTGGATATGCTCTTCCTTTCTTGCGAAGCCACGCTTTGATAGTTGTATAATGAAGTCACAAACTGTATTCTTCAGCTCAGTTAGCACTGGATCTAGTCTAGACTTAAACTTTGTGTCAGGATTTTTAATTTTAAATTGGAGGCTACTTCTGGGCACACCAAACTGTTTTGCCGCCTCTCGAATTGAACCCTCTTTATTCTCAGTAAATTTTAGAATCTTATCTATTGTTTCTTTGCCGTATTGTTGTTTTTAGACATTTTACTAACACTTCAATGAACTGTTAAAAAAATAAGAAAATAGATTAGTAACTGGCCACGAACTGGCCACCTATGCCAGTTACTGATCAGAGTCGACTAATTCTGCTAAAAAGAAAATACACAATACTACACCTTATAAACATCATAACAAAGAGTTATTTTTAAAGAAATTTGAATAATAGGTAAAACTTTAGTAACTGGCATAGGTGGCTAATAACTAAAAACATGCAAAAAATACTTCAGAAACTAGCCACCCTTCCAATAACTGCTTGTTTATGATATTCTTAGAATTAAAATAAAGATTCATATAACTCACCAAGCAAAGATGTAGGAATATGCGATTCTTTCACCACCGCCAAATATTATCACTAATAATTTAAAATTTGTATATACTTAGCCACTAACATTTACGTAGTGAAGTAACTTACATGTCGGGACACGTACACCGACTTTCAGTAAATGGTCGTTTGCTTTGGCGCTAGTATTCGTAGCGAAAAAAGTTGAACTACTATGAAAGGTGAATGACAAGGCATTTGTTTGATACGTTCATAAATGGCGCTAATAAAACATTATTCTAATTTCAAATAGATAAAGTACCAAGTGGCTAGTTATTGGTAGTGGCCAGTTATACCTTGGTTTACCCTATATATTCTGTGTGATTTTATTAACACTAATGGTATAAAAGTTTAATGTTTGTCAATACTAACATACTAATGTAGTTATAGCAACCGTGTTTGTCATTTGTTCTAGGTAATTCAACAGTATAACCATTAGTACTACAAGATAAAAGGGGAAAAAATTGGTTTGAAGGAAAAAAGATACTTGTACTATCACAATCTTCTCTTGTATATGGGCATAGTATTTGTAACTACTGAGCTTCTACTCAATAAACGCTTTCACGCTGACATTGGCGAATGATCAAAACCGCCATAAAAAAGAAAGAAGAAGAAGAATATATTATACACAATAGGCCTGCACACTTCTAATTTTGTATACCTACCTAATAGTTCCTGTATGTATAAATATTGCTGTCAGCATATTTATTCATGTGGTTAACTTATAATATGTAACTTTGTTAACATTCAAAACTATTAATAAATATGAATGTGGTAGAGCCATGCAGCAGCTATGTTATGGTTGTAGCACGAATGGGTCGGCTCGATCGGGAAAGGACCACGCTCTCACAGAAAACCAGTGTAAAATAGCAGCTTAACACTACTGTGTTTCATATGGTGAGTGTAGAGAACCGGAGACCCTCTTTACTGGCAAAGAGGCATTCCATCTTAGTCCTCACGGGTGACAACACATCTGTATCTTGAGTCTTTATTGAGGATAGATGTAGATGTCTATGGGTCACAGTAACCACTTACCATCAGGTGGACTGTGTGCACCCGATCCTATAAAAAAAAAGGTTATCCTACAAAAGAAAACGTAATAAAGGGTCCGAGTTTGGTACAAATGACTTTGAGGGTTGTTGAGCGTGCCGATAAGATAGTTGGGATCTGAACAGGCACCAAGCTACATAGCAGTTCCAAGAATGTTCTTCATTTCTGTAGATATCTATACTTTAAGCAACTGCTAATTAGAGCTTGGTGCCCGGCAACCCCAAAAGTCATTTGTACTGAACTTGGCCTCTTTTCGACACAATATGTTGTTGGTGGGATATATCTCACAGACTAATATTATAGAGCAGAAGAGCAGCAATATTAAAAGTTACTGCTTTCATCAACTGCCTGCCTTAGCATGTGAGAATGGGCTAATTATAATATGTAGGGTAAGGGCTTAATAAGCACAGAACACACAGTATACGGTAAGTATATATATATGGTAAGTGGATATTAGGGAATGCAAAACTGGCCCAAATTAAAAGCCCTTTTTTTTTACGGATTTTTTGTTAGTTTAGTTTAGTTTACTACGGGCTGATTTCCACAACTCCACGTCTATGTGCGTATTTTGCGTGTGGGCAGAAATAATATGCTTATTCAAGCCATGAGATCTCCCGGAAGAAGCTTAACAGTCCTTTGATGTTGCATGCAACTTCGGGGAGTAATCTCGGCGTGCCGAGATGTTTAGGCCCTGTACGTAGCGACCTCCGGACATTTCAATATCACATGGGCCGCCGTTTCTTATTCCCCTGCCCTGCCCTGCACATGGGACTATCTGTAACACCTATAGTAAATAAATGCTTGTTAAAGTTGCCGTGTCCTGTGATAGCACTTGTTACTATCTTGATCTACGGCTTGTTCAGTGTGTTTATTTCAGGCAGGGCCTCCCTAGCATGTCCACAGTCTACTAGATTTTTCCAAAGCTGAGCGTGTAGATTAGTGAAGTGTCTACGTACCAGTGAACGAACATTACCAAAGGGGATTGGTATGATTGGTTCTGGCCCTATAGTGGCCAGTGCCGATCCTCTTCTGGCCAGTTCATCTGCTGCATTGTTGCCTCTGGATCCACTGTGTCCCTTTATCCATTGCAGAATCACATTGTTGTTTTTACATACCTCATTTAATTGTGGATGGCATTCATATATTAGTCCCAAGTTCACCACGTTGCAACTCAGAGCTTGTAGTACCGCCCTACTGTCAGTCAGTATTCTTATGGGGAAGTCATTAACCTTCCTAGCACCTATTGCTATGGTCGCTTGAATGATACCCATACATTCCCCCTGAAAGACTGTGTTATAGGTACCCAGCGGTGTGCATATGTGGATATTGAGGTCTTCAGAGAAAGTTCCAAAACCTACACCTTCATTTGTTTTAGAACCATCGGTGAAAACTCTAAGCTCTTTTGGGCTTAATCCTTCCGGCTGGCTGGTTTCATTTAATTGTATCTTATACTTCTTATTGAATACAAATCGTTTAGGAATCTTATCGTACTTGGCTTGTAAGATAGGAATTTTTGAGTGAATTCTATCAATTATGCCTGTATAGGGGACTCTATTCTTACTCCAAAGATTTAGGGTCTTGAGTCTGATGGCAGCTAAAGTCGCTTCTTGTTGTATATGTAGATGAAGCAGGGTTAGCTCTAGCATCGCTTCTAAGGCTGCTGTTAGTGTATTCTTTATGCAGCCTGTGGCAGCCAAACATGCCAGTCTCTCTTAGCGCTGAAGCTTCTTTATAGTGGTGGCGTCATTTGTCTTGGTCCACCATACCAGAGCACCGTATGTGATCATGGGCCGAATTACAGTTTTGTACAGCCACAGTATAATTTTTGGTGTCAGTCCCCATCTTTTGCCAATCATGTTTCTGCAGTGCCAGAAAGTTATACTAGCTTTGTTGATTTTCTTATCTATGTGTTTATTCCAGTTAAGTTTGCTGTCCAAGGTAAGACCTAAATATTTTACCTCAGAGGTTAACTGGAGTTTAGTGCTGAAAAGACTTGGAGATGATAGTTATTCAGCATTCGTTTTTGTGTGAACATTACTAGAACCGTTTTATTTGGATTAACGGTTAAGTCGTATTCCCTGCACCATCTCTCCACTATACGGAGAGCCGCTTGGGTCAGGTCGCACACTATGCTTGCTGTCTTTCCAGAGACTAGTATTGTCAGGTCATCAGCATAACCTACTGTGTAGAAGTGATTGGCATTTAATTTGCTGATGAGTTCATTAATGACCATATTCCACAGGAGAGGGGAGAGAACCCCACCCTTTCTTAATTTGGATTGGTTGAGATTCACCAACAATCTTTATTATTCGTGTACTGAGCATGTTTACTATCCAGTCAATCAGTGCCGGTTCAACTTTATGTCTACTGAGTGCACATTTTATGCTGGAGAAGTTCGTTCTATCAAAAGCACCTTCTATATCAATGAAGGAACCTAGACATATTTCTATGTTTTGGATGGCCTCTTCAATCTTTGTTATTACCTGGTGAAGTGCCGATTCTGTTGATTTGCCTAGACTGTAGGCGTGTTGTTTGTCGTGTAGTGGTAAGTTCATTAGCGCCGACCCCCTTAATTCCCTTTCACACATCCTCTCCATTGTCTTTAGGAGAAAGGATGTGAGGCTAATGGGCCTGTAGGATTTAGGGTCTGTGTAGTCGCTTTTACCTGGTTTTGGTATGAATGTGACTCACTTTCCTCCATCCCCTAGGAACATAATTAAGAGCCAGACAGGCTCTCATTATGGCAACAAGTCTGACTGTTAGGGCTTTACCCCCCCACTGTAGGAGTGCCGGGAATATGCCGTCAGGTCCTGCCGCCTTATAGGGGAGGAAAATGTGAATGGCCCATTGGATTTTGTCCATCGTTACCACTCTTTGTGCTAAATTCCAGTCTTTTGCTGTTAGTGTCAGTATGTCGTCATGCCGGTTTGCCTCCTGAGTTACGCAGCAGCCTGGGAAGTGCGTTTTAATTAGGATGCGTTGGGCTTCATCCGGCGATTTTGAGTGACTACCGTCGGGTTTCTTTAGAGAGATGGATCCCGACAAGTTCTGTTTAGTTAGAATATTTCTTATCCTGTTCGCTTCTTCGCAGGTTTCTATGTTGCCACAGAATTTACGCCACCCTGTCGAGCGTCGATACCTGATACATTTCTTGTATTCGGACTTAGCTTTCTTGTATAGTGGCCAGTCTTCATCCATTGAGGTATTCATGGTCCTATTTAGGGCTTTTCTTACCTTCTTACGTTTTCTATCTAGTTCTTTAGCCCACCACGGTTGCTTTACCTCAGCTTGCCTTGGTGGAGTAATTTCTGGACATGATTCATGGTAGCTATCTATCATGACTTTAGTAACAGCTGCTACCTGTTCTTCTAGGAGTGATTTGTCTGCTATAGTATTTGTCCCCTCAAAACCCACGAGCAAAGACGTCAACCTATTAAGGTATTTTGTTTTATTCGTCTTGCGGGGATTTCTCCATGGTGGTGTAGCGGGGATATCGACCTGTAGTGCGAAGCAGATCCATCTATGGTCTGAGCATGAGGCCTCTCTCGACACATGCCATCCCGTAATTAGTTTAACAGCTCTTTGTGTTGCAAGTGTGAGGTCGATTATTGTGCGACAGGGTTTGTTTATGAAAGTTGGTTCAGAACCTGTATTTAAAATAGTTAGGTTAGTGCTAAATAAATATTCAACTAACACTTTACCTCGTTCATTCGGTCTTTCCATTCCCCAGAGGGGATGATGCGCGTTGGAGTCCGTCCTGATCACAACCTCTAGTCCGGTCTTCTCGCAGAAGTTCACCAGCCTCACGAAAATTATCCATAATCAATATTGAAACTCCGCGTGCGTAATTAAAACAAAAGCTTGACTGACTGAAACGATATGTATACGCGGGGGAAAGGGAAATACACGGAGGGAGGTCGACGCCGGCGCCGGCCGGCTGCCCGCCCATGATCGACAGAACAGAATCAGAATGAGCGCGGCGCACATTCGACTCGGTCGCATCGACACAGCCAGTAGACCCCTCGTATCTGTAGACCCCTCATGACGTCCTTGGGATAGAGCCGCGACGCCCCAGGGCGTCGCGACGCGCAGTTAGTGAAGCCCTGGGTATAAACATCATCATCATCATTACAGCCCTTCACAAATCCACTGCTGAACATAGGTCTCCCCCAAAGAATGCCACAAAGCACGGTCTTGAGCCACCTGCATCCATCGACTTCCTGCATATCTTACCAGGTCGTCACTCCATCTAGTGGGGGGACGCCCTACACTTCGCCTGCCGGTAAGAGGCTGCCACTTGAGAACCTTTCTTCCCCATCGGTTGTCGGTTCTTCGAGCTATATGGCCGGCCCATTGCCACTTCAGCTTACTAATCCGTTGGGCTATGTTGGTTACTCTGGTTCTACTGCGGATATCCTCATTTCTGAGTTTATCACGCAGAGAAACTCCGAGCATAGCCCTCTCCATAGCTCGCTGAGCGACCTTGAGCTTCCTCATCCGGCCAGCAGTGAAGGACCACGTCTCAGTTCCGTATGTCATCACTGGCAACACGCACTGGGTGTACAGTCTCGTTTTCAAGTTTTGAGGTATACCTGACGAGAAGATGTGCCGTAATTTCCCGAACGCTTCCCAACCGAGTTGAATCCGTCGATTGACCTCTCGGTCGAAGTTGGACTTACCTAGTCGGACTATTTGTCCCAGGTAAACATACTCGTCAACAAATTCGAGCTTAGTGTTCCCAACAACTACCGGCATAGCTGTGACATGGACATTAAACATGATCTTTGTTTGGTATAAACATAAACAAAACAAAATAAAAAGCTGTAATTAGATTAGTATGAAAAGTTTCAAATCGCTCTTATTTTGTTCCGTTTAATTTTAGTACTTTGAAATTGAAAACCAATTACAGACTTCAATAATTTGTCTTCTCAATATACCTTCAAAGATTGAATCTGACCTAGCATGTAGTTATACATTACATTTGTATGCGGACAATTAAAAGTTTTTAGTGAGAAAATGAGATCTTAAAAAAAGTAAAGCATCAAGACTGTATTTTGCTGCAGAAAAAACCGGCTGTTGAAAATGCAATTTCACATAACACTATTTTTTCGGTTTCTAAATTTAGCGCAGATGAAGATGGTTTAATACAGCTCTTTGTTGGTTTCAATGCATGCAAAAGCTCCTTTTTGAAACTTTTGAAAGTAGGAGTTGAAGAAGCAGTGTTAAACCTCTGATGTTCTGCCGAAGTAAGATTATCATTGTCAGCGACCATTTTCTATACGATAGATTTTATGAAATCTGCGGTTGGTTTTTGAAATATAGAATCATTTTCAATGCCATCGAAAAATACTTGAGCGTCGTCTAAATATTTCAGAACACCTTGTATTAAAAGGTATCTCTCACCTATTCTCTTTCGTAAAGCTGTCTGAAGTTCAAAACTCAGACTGCCGTGAGGGCTTGACATTTTTCAGAACATGCTGTAAGAAGCTGTAAGAAGAGTTGCATCTTCTAAGCACAAGACTTCGACAACTCCTTTTACTATTTCGAGTGATTCTTTTAATCGATTTAGAGAGGTAATTTCATCGTCTGTGAAACGAATATCCGATTTTAAGTCCAGCAACGCTTTCTGTATATACTCATAGAGTACTAACACTCTGTCAACCATATCGCATAACGAACTCCGTCTCGTTTTGCAGTCCAAAATCACACATAATTCATGGCCAAACTTTTGTAGCATGTCATCATTTATAGTAGCAGATTTTCTAAAAATGTGTAGTAGAAAATAATATATAGATTATTATTTTCTGCTACGGCATCGTACGTTCTTACACTAGCTACTTGATGTTTTTTTTGTAGAGTACAACCAATACTGCCAATTGTATGCCATGCGCATAAGACAGTTGATGATATACGGGTAAACATTTTCCTATCTTCACCATTACGGCAGCCCCGTTAGTAGAAAGGCCTGCAATATCATCTGCGAGAGACAAATCAAACTCGTGTAATTGCTTCCCTAAAATATTAGCGCACTTGATTGACGTGGCTGATCCTTATTATTTAAGTCAGGTAAATGCACATTTATGTTCATGTAGCGGCGATTGCAGCTAGATGCCCATTCATCGGCAGTTAAAGAAAACTTTAGGCCATTCTTTTTTAATTTAGTTAATACACATTTCACTTCTTTTTTGACGCTTTCGCTGTATTGCAAAACAATGTTTTTTGTAGTATTGGCTGAAGCTGGGAGCGAAAAAGTTACTTTTTTTGAATAGTCTTCTTAAATCCACAGAGTTAGCAAAGACCCTAAACGTAATACCGTCAAGATTGACCATTCTTGAGACTGTCAGTTCCATAGAAAGAGTAGTTTTAAAATATTCTGTAAATTTCTTTGGTTTTTTTATATGATGGTCCTGGGTCTTTATTTTCTGACTGCTTTCAGGCTGCCTTTGTAGAGTATAATAATATTATATAAGTGTGACTATCTTAATATTTTAAGGCCTTCGATCGGGTTTGGCACAAAGCGCTTCTTTCGAAGCTCCCTTTCTATGGGCTTCCCGAAATATTGTGCAATTGGATCACCAGCTTTCTTGCAGATCGGAACATCAAGGTCGTTGTAGACGGTGCATGCTCCGACTACAAGCCTATTAACGCTGGTGTTCCACAAGGCTGCGTGCTATCACCAACGCTGTTTCTTCTGCATATCAATGATATGTTGCAAACCGGTAACATTCATTGCTATGCGGATGACAGCACTGGTAATGCTCTATACACCGACCGTGCCAATTGTGTCTGAAATGACAACTTGTGTCTGAAGTCGAGTCTTTGCCGAACAAAGTCTTAGATTGGGGGCGACTAAATCTAGTCCAGTTTAATCCTCAGAAGACAAAAGTTTGCGCATTTACCGCTTAAAAGAACACCTTTGTCTCAGTTTCAATGCACTCCCCTTGTTGCCTCAGCCAGTATGGGAATCCTCGGCGTCGACATATCTAGTGACGTGCAGTTTCGTGGTCACTTGGAAGAGAAGGAAAAATTGGCCTCTAAAAAGCTTGGCGTGCTCAGCAGAGCGGGACAGTATTTCATGCCCCCTGCAACTTTACAAGGCGCAGGTTCGGCCTCACATGGAATACTGTTCCCATCTCTGGGCTGGAGCTCCCCAGTGCCATCTCCTTCCACTTGACCGCATGCAGAGCAGAGTGGCTCAAATCGTCGACGAGCGAGTCCTTTCCGATCGGCTCGATTCATTGGCGCTGTAAAGAGATGTTGCATCCCTTTGCATTTTCTACCGCATTTACCACGGGGAGTGCTCTGAGGAATTGTTCGGATTAATCCCAGCCGCTAAATTTCACGAACGCACATCGCGCTAGAACTCCCGATACCATCCACACCATCTGGATGACTGGCGGTCCACTACTGTGCGATTTAGAAGATGTTTTCTTCCTCGCACAACTTTCTTGTGAAAACGATTACCACCAGCGATTTTTCCGGACCGATACGACTTTGGGACCTTCAAGAAGACTCCTTTTTAAAAGGCCGGCAACGCAACTGCAATTCCCCTGGTGTTGCAGTTGTTCATGGGCGGCGGTAGTCACTTACCATCAGG